AAAAAAATAATCATACGAGCGTATTAAATAAAGAGGAAAAACTATGCATTTTACATTCATATCACTAGTTGACCCATTAAATAATTCCAAAAATGATTAAAAAATAATAATTTATTATTAGAATCAATTAAGCCTTTTAATATAATGCGTGAGGTGTGACTCAAACCCCTGACCTCCCACACAAATTCCACAATTTCCACTAATTGGGCACTTCATCTTAATTAATTATTTCTTTCATATATTATATTTATTGTATAAATATTTAACAGTGGGGAGAATGGAGAACGCGCTATCGTCTACATCGGCATCGGCATCGGCGAGTGCATTAGTTGGGGCGTATGCCGGTGTGGGTGTTGGCAAGTTCTTGTAAGTGGTAAAGGTGTAGGAAAAAGGGGAAGGGGACGGGGCTTGAGCGGCAGCCTCGGGTGGCAGGGTGGCTTGCGAGAACTTGTAGGCCTCACCAGACGGCGGAGAGGACGATGGAGAGGGAGATTATTAAGGCAATTTTGTTGTTGAAAGCCATTGTTTCTCCCTCACCACCAAACTGAGAAAAAAAATTAAGGGACTGCCACCAAACCAAGAATAGAAGGGGTTGACTATGATTAGATATATTATTGATGTTATTTATATTGCAATGCCATTGTAGGGTTAATTTGTCCAAAAATAGTTGATCTTAACAGCCTCATTTCACTATAGAAAACAAGGGCATTGCACAATTAAAGGAGCTATGTAAAAATTTAATTTTATGGATGCAAATTTACGCTATCAGTGTAATGTCACATACCAGACACATTCTAAGGACGGTACTAAGATTAACCTATCAGATTAGAGATTAGAGATATCTTCTAATCGTGCTCGGGTAGATATATAGCGAATGATGCATCTTCGAACGATAAGGGCTTGACAAACCATTCAAGTTGCAATGTTAGCGTATCCTCAGGAATTCAAAAGGCTGATTTGTTATAGTGAATCACCCATTTTCATATGCTTCGAATTTGATCTCTAATACATTCATAATTGGAGTTCATATTGAAGGATTCATAATAAATTGTTTCACTCCACTATCATTGTTTGATAAATAGGAGAAAATGGAGATTTTTACCACATCACCACTAAACCCCACTCCAAAAAAGACCAAAATAATGTTATCTTTGACACGTGTCTAACCAAGTGGTTCAGTTGAGTTTAATTAGGATAATAAAATGTTCTGTATCGTCCCGTTAAGAAATTAGAAAAGGAACCCGCCCCGCCAAACATATACATTACATGTCATATCGATCGGTCATAGTTAGGAAAGGAAAACGAATAAAAGGCCAAAAGGGTTTGACGGAGTTTTCCATTGTTCACCATTATTCTACCAGCCGTCCATAGATTTTGCGTTTGACCAAAATACCCCTTCTTCTCTAACTTTTCTTGCCATTTATCTTTACAGAATTGTAATTTCCATTTCATTTTTGAAAAGAACTGTCAAGGACGATATTGTAATTTCATAAAACTGGCAACCAGGTCAAGGATCATAAAGCAAGTCAATGTCAAACTCCATTGATAGGAAAGAAAAAAGAGAAGTTTTGATTCATTCTTTGTATTCTGCCAATCTCAAAGCATTTCCTTTTTCCTCTTTTCACATTGATGCCTCGACAATGCAATTTCCTTTTGTCCTTAATAGAATCTTTAAATCCAGAAAATGGTGTTTCCTCTGCTCTTTCATCTAAAAACCCTTTGATTCTTGGTTGAGAAAATAGAGGAAATTTGCGAACGGGTATTGAAAAATGAAGAATTCTTTAGGCACGGGTTTTATGGCAGTTTTTGCAGTTTCAGGGAGCGTTGTTTTTCTTGCCATGCAAATTCATAAGCGTATTCTTTCTGATTTCATGAAGAAGATAGAATTCGAAATCGGCACTGCAACAGGTATTCTTTCTTTTCTCTTTAAATTAATGGAATTTCTTAGGTTTTAATTGATGTTTATGATTATATATGTATATGCAGGAGGATGTGGAAAAGATCGAGTGCGAAAGAAGAAGGTGAGATTTTCCGACCAAGTGGTGGAGCTATCACGGGATGACAAAGAACGTTGCAAGAAGCATTTGCCGAAGCCGGCCATCCACAACCGGAATGAGGATCGAAATCTGGAGGCGATGCCTCAGAATTGGCAAGTTTTGTACAAAGGGATTTTGAAAAACAGGAACCTGAAGGCGTGTAACTAACTTTTTTATCGTTGTCACCGGTTGTTTATGGTGGCGGAAGCGGTGACGATGGTGATGGCCGGCGACAGTGAACCTCCACTTATGTACATCTGTTCAGGTTTCAGTAGGTTTTCTTTCTTTTTTATTTTATTTTTCATTTATTGTTATTATTTTTTAGAACTTTTTATCATAGGGAAGTTGTAAATATTCTGTTAATTTAGTTTTTTTTTGTAAATATTCTGTTAATTTAGTTTTTTTTTCTACTTCTCCCTTCTTATACGAATGTTGGTTATTAGAGTTTAAAAGTCTTATAATCTAAGAAGTCAACCATCTATAAGGTTGAATAGGCTGGTTTAAAAAATTCGATTTCAATCAATTATTGCATAATAATCAAGTGAAATAGCCCGTTTGGGCTCCTTTAAAATTTAATTTGTGAAAAAATGTGTGTTGGAATAGTATTTTGTTTAAAAATGTATCGTTCAAAAGTAAGAAAATGTTTTAGATTTAAGTGTAATATTATTTTTTTGGAGAATGTGTGGTTTAAAAATAAGAAAAATCTTAGATTTAGTGTAATATTATTTTATTGAAAAATGTGATTGAAAATAAGAAAAAGAAAAATATATTTTACAAAAATGAAGCTCAAACATGGGCTATGTTTCTCTCGTGTTTTCGATATTAGACGTTAGAGTCAACACGATAACTATCAAATTGAAAGAAACCGGAAAATATGAATTTCACTACTTTGAAAGCTAAGTCACGTAGATTGATTTTGACTGAGTTTTTGAACTATGTAACTTATCTTCATTGTTCAAGTGATAACAAAAAGTAAATAAATGATCACCAAGCGATATAATGCGGTAAACCTCAAAAGCAAATATCCACGAGCCCCATGTCATGGATAGAATATAATTTATTTAAAATTTTATAACTACAAATAACATCGATCACGTCGACCAGAAACTTATATAACCAAACAAAAAGTGCAATCAAATTCTCAAGTCACCCCAAGACTTCTCTTCCACATATCGGACATCTCTATCTCCTTAAGAACTTGAAAGACCTTTCTTTTGTTATTCAAGACGTAAAGAATTCAATTGAATTTGAATCCATTCTCTAATTAAATTAAAAGAGTTCAACTATCAATAACTTCCTGCAAATTTAGTGAACTTAAACTTGTATAATAAGATAAGAATCAATAAGACGAGTCATATCCAACTTAGGTTTCATTATAATCTTCTATTATTTGAAGAGTCCTAACATATACAAATCATTTTTTTTTTCAGAGTTTCGATATAAAGAGAATCGAGAATAAAGTTTCACAAATTACTAATTCAGTTGAAGCGTTCAGATATGCGTGCGAACACGTGAAATCAACCAACCTTTTATTCAATAACTAGCTTATCCCGCATCAATTTTACTCTAAAACAATCTCCTTAATTGATTAAGGAAGCCAATAAGATAAGTCTTTTACTAAATGAAATTTCCAACAAAAGTGAAAAGGTAGGAATTGTTTACACAAGTTACACAACTCAAGATATTCACAATTGATCCACTCATGATCACATCATGTCTTAAATCATAAACAACATATTAGGAATCGAGTTCTATAGTTTTGATTTTGATTCAAGTATGTTGATAGATATTTGAACGTACGTGTAAACTGAAATAAAATTAAAACGCTTAATATTTTATCCATCCAAGTACAATCTAACTAAACTCATAATATACGGAAGCTTGATCATAAAAGTTCATGAAATTAAGAAAGTCAATCAATAAATAACTAACATCAATTAAAAAAAAAAGTCGCTACACATATTTTTTCAACGGTCAAGGCCGGTTTTAAGAGCGCGCAAGAAGTACGAACATACATGACTCAATAATTATAAGGGGTGCCATTGAAATAATTACTTATAAAAATTGTTATTTTTTTATTTGTTAATATAAAGAATATTTTACGACCTTTTAGTCAAGTTAAAATGCACAATATTTAGGGGAAAAGACACAGAATATAAATATCATATAGACATTTAAAAAAATGGCATATTATTGAGAAAAAATTAATTAATATTTTTTTGCAGTTAATGGCTTCTTGGAAAGGTTACCATTTAGTCAAACAAAACTATTCCTCTTCCGAGCCCAATGAAAGAAAAACACTGGACCTTTTTTTTTGGAACAATACATAATTAAGAGGTTTAGTTTTACGAATTTCAAATTTAAGAACTTAAGTTTAAAATTTCAAATTTCAGATATTTTTAAATTTTATTTATAAAATAATTAATTAAGCATATATTTTATTAATTAAATATATTAAGGTCACAATTACATATAATTTGGTCACAAATTATAAATTAATTAGTCACAAATTATTTCTCAATCACAATAAAAAAATTTATAGGTCACAAATTATTTCATAATGACAAATCGACAATTTTATAGGTCACAATTTTTTCATCGGTGTCAAATTTATAAAATTAGTAAGTCACGTATTATTCATTGGTCACAAATCACAAATTTTATATATCACAAATTATTTTAACGTCACAATTAAAAAAATTTATAAATTACAATTTGTTCATTAGTCACAAATCAAAAATTGAAACGTCACAATTTATTTATAGGTTACAAGTCACAAATTATCGGTCACACGTACTTTTTTTGTCAATAATTTCATATGTCAGATTATTTCTCGATCACGAATCAAAAATTTTATTGGTGACAAATTATTTATCAATCATGAAATGAAAACTTTTATTGGTCACAATTCGGTTATAACTTATTAAATTGTGAGTTTTTAGGTCACAAATTATTAATTTATTAAAAATTAACCAATCATTGGTCACAATCAACCAAATAATTGATCACAGACACCCAGTCCATATCATCCCACTCACGATCACCGTCATGACACAGCACCGCCGTCAAACACCACCACTGCACCGTAACGCACACCTCCACCTCCACCGCACCACTAGTGACCTTCATTCCCACCACCGCCAAAATATCACAGAACACATACAAATCAGCACACATACTCACAGATTGCCCACCTCCACCGCCCGCAACCCCAACCACCATCTCCTTTATCTTTATCTTAGCCACACCGCAACCACCAACCCCACTAAAAAATCTCCAAACCGCCGCCACCACCACCACCACAATGTCGCACCGCCACACTGCCGCCGTCAAACTGCCACACCGCTACCACTACAAAACTCCCTAATTGCCACAGCCACCGTCGTACAACGCACCACCACATCTACAGACAACACCACCGCACAAATAATAACAAATTAAAATTATCCTAAAATACCAAATATGTCTACTAAGCAAGGAGGAAGAAGAAACCACCCCCCAAAACCACAATCTGAAACGCCGGTGATGCTTAGGCGAGGTGAGTGTCTTGGAAGGTTTGGATTTGAAATTATAGAGATGATAGTGAAGAGAGAAAGGAGAGGAGATGAGAGAACCACCGCTGCCGCCACCACCACCACCACCACCTTCCCATCGTCTACCGTCACCACCATAGTCATGACCTCCACTTGCACCACCAACAAAAAACCTCACCACCACCTCTAATAGCATCAACACCACACCACACCTGCCACTCAGATCTTCTTACTCTGGATGACCCCGACGCCGACGGCGCTGCTAGTGTTAAGTTGGAGTCTCGCCGACGCTGTAGAGAGAGGAGTTATAGAGGCGAGAGAGATGTAGAATCATCCTAAAATACCAAATATGTCGACTAACCAATGAGGAAGAAGAAACCACCCCCAAAACCACGATCTGAACCCCAACGATGCTTAGGCGAGGTGAGTGTCTTGGTAGGTTTGGATTTGAAATTATAGAGATGGTAGTGAAGAGAGAAAGGTGAGGAGATGATAGAATCGCCGCCGTCGCCGCTGCCACCACCACCACCTTCCCATCCTCTACCGCCACCACCATAGCCATGACCTTCACTTGCACCACTAACAAAAAACCTCACCACCACCGCTAATAGCATCAACACCACACCACACCCACCTCTTAGATCTTCTTCTTTGGATGATGCCGACGTCGACGTCGCTACTTGTGTTAAGTTGGATTCTCGCCCGGCGCTGTAGAGAGAGAAGTTAGAGAGACGAGGGAGATGTAGAGAGAGGAGGGAAGGGGGAGGAAAATAATAGGGTTTGGGGGATATGGTGGGTATATAGATTAATTTAGTTTTAAAATATTATTATTAATATTTTAATGTTTAATTATGATCTGATTTTTGTAAAAATAAACTTTGAATCTGATTTTTAAAATGTTAACTTGAAAATTCTGGTTCCATTTAATTTCCACTTTTTTTATTCTTTTCGTTCCTTTTAAAAAATTAGTCAGAGTTGACCGTGCATGTCGCGTAATTTTAGAATATTTTATAAGTACCGTAAAAACAATATTTGATATCAATTTATTAGGAGGATTTGATGAGTCTCAAACGTACTAAAAAAATTAAAATTTATGATAGAAATTTAAGAGAATAAATTGTGCTCTAAAAACTCAACTTCTATGAGTCAAACTTTTTTTGATGATGAAATACTACAAATGAGAAACATTTTTATACTCATTTGATACAAAAGAAGTAATTCATAATTCATGAATTTAAACACCTATTAAAATTTTTAGATACATGAATAAAAATAAATTCATCTATAATAACTCTATATTCATATAGATCAAGATTTATCAAGTCAAAATTCATTGAATCTAGATTAATGTGAATGTTAATTAATTGAGATATATGGAATGAGATCTACTATCTGATTGTTGATCGATTGGCGACGTACAACAACAACAATTAGACATTGAGACACTCTTAGATCCTATTTAATTAGTAGATATTATCATTTGAAGGACATGTTCTCAGTGTCACACTTTGTCCATTAATTGAGCTGCTGTTTCATTTTTTACTAGGATTCTGTTCAAAGTGAGTATTAAAATGTGAGAATTTGAAAAACAATTGTTGTTTGAAAAGGTACACATTTTGTAAGACTTGAACTTTA